ACTGCAGTACCCACTGGTGCCACAGACCCGAGGTGCCCCTGAGCTGTCCTGGCGCCGTGCAGCCACCTTGGGCCACCGTGCCGTGCCAGCTGCCTCCTATGGTCGCATCTATGCTGGAGGGGCCACAGGCAGCCTTTCGCAGCCAGCCAGCCGCTACTCTTCTCGAGAACAGCTGGACCTCCTCCTCCGGCGGCAACTGAGCCGTGAGCGACTGGAGGAGGCCCCTGCCCCTATTCTGCATCCCCTGAGTCGGCCGGGGTCCCAGGAACCCCTGGATGCCACGCCAGGTCGCCTGGAGCCCAGGGATCGGGGCAGTACCCTCCCACGGAGGCAGCCACCCAGGGACTACCCTGGCACCAGGGCCGGCCGCTTCGGGTCACGGGATGCTCTGGACCTAGGGGCGCCCTGCGAGTGGTTGCACACACTGCCCCTGCCCCATGGTGCCCGGGACCTTGACCCACAGCCCCCGCCTCTGCCCCTGTCTCCCCAGCGGCAACTCTCAAGGGACCCCCTCTTGCCATCCCGGCCCCTGGATTCCCTGTCCAGGAGATCGAACTCAGGGGAGCAGCTGGACCACGTGCCTAGCCGCCACCCCTCACGAGAAGGCCTCGGGCCAGCCCCACAGCTGCTCAGAGTTAGGGAGGACCCAGCCAGTGGCCCTAGCCATGGCCCCTCCACAGAGCAGCTGGACATTCTTTCTTCTATCCTGGCCTCCTTCAACTCCTCAGCTCTCTCCTCCTCTGTGCAGTCCTCCAGCACGCCCTCGGGCCCTCACACCACTGCCACAGCCTCTGCGCTTGGGCCCTCCACACCACGCTCTGCCACGTCCCACAGCATCTCGGAGCTGTCTCCAGACTCAGAGTAAGCAGGGTTTGGCAGCCTGTCCACACCTGCATCAGCTTAAGGCAACCTCCTGTGTACCCTGCCCTGTGTTTGGCCACAGAATCGGGGTGTGGGTTGGCAGTGTGGGCTACCCGAGGGGGCCACAGGCAGGGAATGGTGGTGTGATTAGCAGGGACTTGCCGGGTGTCTGATTGGTGCCGGCCACCCTCCCCTGCACCTCCCGGGCTAGGGAAGAGAGATACGTGCCTTCCAAAGGGCTTGAGCTAGTGGAGAGGGCGAGAGCAGGATCCAAGGCCCGGAAGGAGGAGGTAATGTGGTATACGGAAAGGGGTGGGGGTGGGTGGAGAGGAGGAATCATGGTTTGGGAGGCTTTGCTTAGGAGGTGGTAAGGGATAAGGAGGGGCCAGAAGTAGTGCCAGGATATGGGCATCTCATATGTCAGGATGAAGAGCTAACTTTGAAAGTAAATCATTTACCTGACTTATTTATTTAATCACTGTTAAGTTCCTCATGCCTGTGGGCACTGCGAGGTGGAGCACATAGGAACTGAGTTGGTACCTGGTGCATCTCAGGGGCCGTGTGTAGCGTAGGGAGCTGCAGATGTACCTGGGAAGCAGCTGGATAGACAGGAGTCAGAGAGGGAGTGGGGAGGAACCAGGGATTGCCAGGCTTTGGAAGCCAAGAGAAGAGTTGAGTTTCAAGAAGGAGGAACGGCTAGGTCAGGCTCTGTGGAGTTCTGCAGGTTAAAAGGAGGCTTTGGGGGAAAGGGACGCCAGGAGTGGGGCAGGAGACCTGTAGAACCCAAGCAGAGTCCGAGGAGGAGAAAGGAAGGAGCAGGGAACTTAGGGCCTTGTGCCGGGGACTCTGGAAGGTGCTGGATGCAGGGCCGAGGGAGAGCTATGAGTATTGCCTGGGCCCAACTGCGGCCTAGCCTTGGGGTCTAGCTGGTGGGGCGGGGGAGGGGTCCTGGGGGACTGTGCAGGGGTTCGGGCTCTGGAGTCACACTTGACCTCCCCGAGTCTCTGTTTCCATATCTGTAAAATGTGTCTGTAGTAACAGATGAGATGTGGAGATTTTTTGAGGCAAAATCTGTTAAGGGCTAATGAATGTAGTGTCTACACAGCAGGTGCTCGCTGAGTGCCTAGAGAGAGGACAGGTGGTGACCAAGGGGCCTTGCTGATGAGTCTCAGGGTGTAGAAGCGGTGAAGGGGTCTGAGATCCCCGGAAGGGGTGTAAGGGGGCTGGGGACTGAAAGGAAACGGTGATGGGGTTGGGGGGGAGATGGTGGGGGCCCAGGCTGTGGGGGAGCTGAGATCCCCCTGACTGAATTCTCTCAGCAACCACCTCTGACTGCCGCGCTCAACTCTGCAGAGTTCCCAGAAGCGAGGGGCACTCCTGAGGGGCAGACTCCCAGACTAGGAACGGCTGAAGGCCGTGGAGGATTTGAGCTAACAGAAGAGACTCCAGGAATCAGGGGCTGATCCCAAGGCAGCCTCCCACCCACCCCCCAGCTCTCCTGTTGCTGCAGTGCTGAGGCTCCTCGCTCTGTCCATGAGCATGTGAGCATGTGCGGAACAGGTGCAGGGGGAGGGAACTGAAAGGAGGACTTTTATACGTTTTGTACCTTTGTAACCAGAGAGATATGCTTATGTTATTTTTCAGCTTTTCTGTCTCCCGGGGTTCTGAGGCTGGGCTGGAAGGGGAAGGGGACAGAGGGTAAGAGGTGCAGTGTTTGGCCCCATTTGGGTCCCTGGCAAACGATATGCTCTTTCCTCTCATCTTCCTGGGGTAGATTCAGAGAGGAGGGGCACATAGCCCCTGCCCATTGATCTGAATATTGTTAGGGCCCAAAGTACAGAATTGATCTTTGTGCTTTCTCGGATGCCCCAAGGGCCAAACTTCAGGGACTGGGGGTTGTCTTGGAAACAGGGGTCCTCTGACTTCCTCACGAGGCTTGCTCATGCTGCCCCTCCCCGTGGATGTGTGTGTTTCTTATGCGGAGTCCCTGCCACTTACTGCCTTATGTCCTAGGACTGATGCTGTGGGGCGCTGGTGGAGCAGCACGTCATGTTTACAGAGCAAGGCTTCCCTTTCTCCCACACGGTGGGGCTCAGGCCTCTATGCAGACATTCCTGCAGAGGGTGGACTAGGGGGTCATTTGCCAGCCCCTGCTAAGAGCAAACATTGTCTGTGGTGCCATCTGATTCCCTGACACTGCCCTGTGCTAGAATTTCTTCCTAGGGGTAGGCAGGGGAGCAAGGGGGAGCAGAAGTAAGACAGTTGAAGACACAGAATGTAGGTGCCACTGCCTCCCATGTTTACAGGACCCTCCCTGGCCCTGGGCACCTGGGCTGCGGTAACTAGTTCCATCCTATTTCATTCCCTTCTAAAGGGAGAAATGACTGTTAGGACCCTGTTCACAAAACTCTTTTATTACTTTGTCTGACATCCAGAACTGGGGACTTTTAGATTTTGTTACTTTGTTTACAGGTCAAGATTTAAAACATCCTAAAACTGTGTTTACAACTTAAAACCTTGAACTTTTATACTTTGTTTACAGTTGAAAAAGTGGTGTCCCCCCCCCTTTGTTTACAAGTGAAAGACTGAGAAGGCAGGAGAGGGGCTGGAGGACCCTGGACCTGGCCACCTTGAGAGGTTTCTAGCTCCTAACTCTCCCAGGCCAAAGGTCAGTCCTGAGTCCCCTGCTGAACAGCAGACCCGGAAGGCCTCCAGAGTAGGCATCCTCTTATGCCTAGGAACAATGGGTTGTGCAGGGTTGTAGGGGGTCTGTGCAGACACCCCCCTTCCCCACACAAACTCTTGGGAGGCAATTTCCAAGGAGATTAAAAATTCTACTTTGCTGACTGGTGCCAAATCCTGCCAGCCAGGACTCCAGCTCTCCTTACCCAGAATGACCCCAGCCCTTGAAGGGTTGAGGGGCCAGCTCTGGGAGAAGGGGGGTGTCCTTGCTATGTCCTAGGTTCTATAGATGCCCCTCTCTGGGGGTCCCCTGCTCCAGCCCAGTGGCCCCTTTCCCTGTCTGTATAAATTGTTCCGTGAAGCCGCGCTCTGTTTTGGGAATAAACTTCTATAGAAAATGGTTATTGCCTCTTTCTGTTTGGGAGTGGGAGTGGGGTGGGTAGGGTAGGAGGGTGGTTATGATTCAGACCAGGCTGACTTTTGGGAGAAATCTGAGCACTGCCCCTCCCCCCTCAATATTCAGCTATTTTTAGCCCATTTTATCTGACATTTGGACCAAGTTCCCATCTCTTTCACCCTGAGTTCTGGCCTGGTGCTTTGTGATCTGGGGTCTGAAGTATGAGCACAGGTCCTGGGAGTAAGGCGCCAGGGAAATCCCTTCTCTCCTCAAGGTGTCAGCATGATGACTTGGTCTTCAGGGCCTGCAACTCTAACCTGGCATTTGCCCTGGCCAGGGCTCCAACCAACCTTAGGAACTGCCCTTGCCAACCCCTCAGCCCATTAACAGCACTGACCACTAGCCTCTTGGACTTGCAGCTGGCCAGGACATCATGTTCCTTCCCCGCTCAGGCAGAAGCCTTTGGGCGAGATGCCAGGCTGTGCCCTGTAGGGGAGGGAAACCTCGCAGCCTCATTTCGGGTCTGGATGTCCAGAGTTGAAGGGAGGCCTTGAGCACCTTCGGTGTCAGACACTGGTCTTAAGGGGAAAGCCTGAAGGCGCCGCCCTTAGTGGGAGGCAAAAGAGGCCCCATAGACCGAATACCCCAAGGAGAGCTAAGGCTCTGGTTACCAGCAGCGCCCCCAGGCAGCCCATTTGGGGGGTTTCCCTCCCCATCCCGCGGGGACCCTCCGAGAGAAGCCAGGACTTGGTATCCGCCCTGTCGTACTCAGGTACCCCGGCCACGGCCGTAGCCGAGCGGGGATCCTTAGTCCCAGTTGTCAAGTTCCAGGCCGCAGGGGAGGAAGGGGTTAAATCTTCCGCCCGGGGGCTCGCCCCGCCTAAAGAGCGTCCCTTAGGCCCCGCCCGAGCACGCTGATTGGTCCAAGCCTGCCCCGTCCTGTCCAGGGATTGGCCCGTTGGAGCCCGCCGTAGGTCCCTGTCTCCCCTCCCGAACGGTAGTGGCCTCCCGCAGGAGCTTTATCCGCCGCCGCCGCCACCTGGCAGGCAGCCCACTGGCCATGGGGTTGTCTGAAGCTTCGGGGTGAGTGCAGGGCACGGTTCCGGTTCTCCGCGTCCGTGTCCGCGAGCTGCCGCGTGGCCCCGGTGCAGGCGCCAGCTTGGGTTAGCTCGGAAGGGGTACCGCCAAGTCCGGAGCAGGCATCCTCCCCACGGGGCGCCTTGGTTTGCAGCTTTGCCGATTTTCTGCAGGCGGTTGCCCGCTGAAGCGAGGGATGGGGCGGGAGCCCGCGCGACCCCCGCCCCTGAGGGCTGTGCGGGAAGCCACTCGAGCGCCGCCCGCGGGCTAGCCTCGGGCCGCGGGAGGCGGCTGAGTGTGGAGGAGCCCCGGCCCAGGAGGTGAGCCGCTGGGCGCGTTGGGGCCGGGAGGTCGCCGCAAGGAGTCCATAGCGGTGGCCTGAGCCCACCCAGCTGTACCACTGACCGGGAATGAGGGATCCGGCTGGAAGGACCGAGGTGCCCTCCCCGGCGAAGGGGCCAAGCATCTAGGCCCCGCCCTCCAAGCACGCGTCCTGGGCAGTTGGGGAGCCCTTTAACAAGACCTGAGTGACTCACGGAGGAGGGGCAAGGGGGCTCAAAGATCTCTGTGAGACCGCGGTGCCAAGAGTCTCTGAGGATCTATCTGCCTCGCACCTGCTCCACTCCCTTCTCTGACCAGGACATCCAGGTTAGAGAGGTTCTTCCCGGGCGAGTTCCTACCCCTCGGGAGATCCTACCCCTAGGTCAGAGCCCACAGATCAGAACTTTCCTGAAAACTTTCCCAGCAGGGGAGAGTTTCCCTTCAGGGAAGACTCCTGCGCTGAGATCTATTCCCAGGTGAGAGCTTTCAACCATTTCAGGTGGGAGCCTACGCCAGCCAGGTAAGATCCTCCCTTAGGTGAGAGCACCCTCCAGATGAGAACTTCCCTGGTTTTCCTGGCAGGTGAAAACTTTCCCCACTGGCAAAGCTTCCCTCCCAGGATGAGCTTCCTCGAATAAGAACTCCCTCCCCGCAGATCACCTATTCCCAAGGGAGGTCCCCTCTTCCCCTCCCTCCTCCCCCCGGGAGCCCTGATCCTTAGTCCCAGTTGTAAAGTTCTAGGCTGCAAGGGAGGAAGGGGTTAAATCCCCCCCGCGGGGGGGGTGCGGTTAGCCTCTTGGTGGGAGCCTCTGGGTGGATAAGAGATTCTCTGAATACAGAACCTGCCTGGCTGGTGCAAACTTTCCTGTCAGGTGAGAGCTTTCCCTCTGGGAGAAAGAGCACCTGGTAGTAGGAGCTCTGGAGGGGAAATCTTCCCACTTCAGGTGGGAGCTTGCCTTTCCAGGTGAGACCCCTTTCTCCAGGTGAGAGCCATTCCCTGGCTTTCCCAGATTAAGCCTGAGTTTGTCCACAGCCTGGATCCCCAGGCTGGAGGCCCAGGGGGCAATCTTAGCCCCAATACTTTCCTTCCCTTAGAGGGGAGCCACTCTAAAGAGGAGCCTGCCTGAAGGACTGGACCCCTGATTGCTGGGTCCCTTCCTTGTGCGAGTTCTCAGCCATCCAGCACTGAGCTCATGGGGCAGCCGGATGAGGGCTCAGAGACTGGACAGGGATTGTCCAGGGGAGGGGCTGGGGGGACAGTCAGCCTGGGACGGGGACTGATAGAACACTCACAGGTGGGCAGCTATACCTGGGTTGGAGGTATGGATTATATTCATCTTGCCATCTCTTCATTGGGGACTTTGGCCCAGCGAGAGACTTTTCCCAGCCAAAGTTCAGGGATTTCTACTGGCTGGGCATGGGTCCAGCTCTCAGCTACCTAGATCTTAAGGCCTAGAAAAGTCAAGTGGGTGACTCTGATCCCAGGTGGAAGCATGGGGGAGGTTGGGCCAGGGGTACACTCACTGTGACTCTGATTTCGCTACCCCAGACAGAGGGACACACAGGCACTGTTGCCTGTGACACAGGCCATGGAGCTGAGGAAGCGAGACTACCATGTGGAGCGGCCACTGATGAACCAGGAACGGTTGGAGGAGCTGGGGTGCTGGACCTCAGCAACCAGGACCCACCAGTGGCGAACCTGGTTTCAGTAAGGCAGAGGGTGGGGGTCTGGGGGCGCTGGCAGGACTTAGGTAGACCCTGTCCCCAATGCCTACCGTTATGTCCCCAGGTGCTCCCGTGCTCGGGCCCGAGCCCTTCTGTTCCAGCACCTCCCAGTTTTGGCCTGGCTACCCCGGTATCGCTTGCGTGACTGGCTCCTGGGCGACTTGTTGGCTGGCCTGAGTGTGGCCATTATGCAGCTACCACAGGGTGAGCCATACGTGACCCGGAGGCTGTACCCTCAGTCCTTGGGGGGTGATCTGCAATCCTTCAAGGCCCCAGCGCAGAAGCCCTGTGGTCTTGTGCACCCCCTCTAATCTGAAGCTATGAGTGCTGCCCCCTGGAACTATGGCCCATGACCTAGGGTTGGGATTCCCTCATCCTTTCCAAGGCCCTGGCCTCCAAGCCTCCATTGCTACCATTCCACTTCCAGGCCTAGCCTATGCCCTCCTGGCTGGACTGCCCCCCGTGTTTGGCCTCTACAGCTCTTTCTATCCTGTCTTTATCTACTTCCTGTTCGGCACTTCCCGGCACATCTCCGTGGGTGAGTGGAGCCAGGCTCAGTCTTGCAGGAGGATGTCCACCTTTCCCCATGGAGGACAGGGCGAGGGAGGGCCGAGCAGGGCAAGGGAACTTAGAGAAGGGGACAGCATTGGTGCTGGGTCCAAGGTCATTTCCAGGCAGGACTAGGCCTCTGACTGTGGGGCCAGAGATTCAGGATAGCTCCAGGCCCTGGCTCCAGGAGGATGTGAGTGAGGCAACTTGAAGGGCCCAGAACTTGGCAGAGTCCTGACCAGCCTGAGGCAGGGCGGGGCCAGCATTTCCGGCTGCCCTCAAGAGTCCCTGAGTTCAGGGTTCATACGTGACCACCAGCACTGCCTCTATATGCCTGATGTAGTCTGAAGATACTTCTCTAGAACCAGCTATCTCCTGACCCCTCCCCTTAAGGGCAGGGTTCCTGGGTAGGGTGGTGTCCTCTCCCCTGCAGACCCACCCTGACCTACCTCGGCAGGTACCTTTGCTGTCATGTCTGTGATGGTGGGCAGTGTGACAGAATCCCTGGCCCCGGATGAGAACTTCCTGCAGGGTGTGAACTCCACCGTCGATGAGGCGGCCAGAGATGGTGTGCGGGTGCAGCTGGCTTCCACGCTCAGCGTCCTGGTCGGCCTCTTCCAGGTGCGGAGCAGGCAAGAGGATGTGCCCCCCACCCCGCCACTGCCAGTTCCCCTGAGTGTCTGCCTATCACCGCCCTCCTCCTCCCCCTGGCTGCTCCCTCATGCCCCTTGGATTCCACCTGCCCTGGGCTCTGCTCTAGCCACCCTGACGACCCTGACCCTCGTGTCCCCTGACTGCCCCTGGCCACCCCACAGGTGGGACTGGGCCTGGTCCGCTTCGGCTTTGTGGTCACCTACTTGTCAGAGCCCCTGGTCCGCGCCTATACCACGGCCGCGTCTGTGCAGGTCTTCGTCTCGCAGCTCAAGTATGTGTTTGGCCTCCAACTGAGCAGCCACTCGGGGCCACTGTCCCTCATCTATGTGAGTGAGGGCGGGAGGAGGGACGGGCGGGGTGCGCCCCACAACCTTGAGTGCTGCCCGTGACCCTGCCTCCCCTCAGACAGTGCTGGAGGTCTGCTCGAAGCTGCCCTGGAGTGTGATGAACACGGTGGGCACGATGGTCACTGCGTTGGTGGCAGGGGTGGTGCTGGTGCTGGTGAAACTGCTCAACGACAAGCTGCGCCGATATCTGCCCATGCCGATCCCTGGGGAGCTGCTAACGGTTCGAAATCTGCGGGGCCGGGGGGAAGGGCAGGGGAGGATACATCCCTGCCGGCGGGCACCCCCCCAGCTGGAGTGGGCACCAGGGAGAGTTCCTTGGGGACGGGATGTGACCACAGCAGGAAGGTCCCATGTTGGTGCCTTCCAGACCCTGATAGCATCTCCACTTTCCCCAAAGGGTGGTGTATTTTACCTTGTTGCCCACTTCTCCCCCCCCCGCGAAGGCTTTGCTTCCTTGTTGCCACCGTCTTCACCCCCACAGTGGTTTCTCCAGCCCCTTGATGATGCCAGCACTGCTCCCCTGACTCTGTCCTCTCTCCCCAGCTCATCGGGGCCACAGGCATCTCCTACGGTGTGGGCCTAAAGGCCAGATTTGGGGTGGATGTCGTGGGCGACATCCCTGCAGGGTGAGCTCTGGCGCCTGTCTGGTCAGGGAGGGCTGGGGGGCCAGGGCCAGCTCCCTCCTTTGGCCTCACAGATGCCCCTCACAGGCTGGTGCCCCCAGCGGCCCCCAGCCCCCAGCTGTTCGCCAGCCTGGTGGGATATGCCTTCACCATCGCTGTGGTTGGTTTTGCCATTGCCATCTCACTGGGGAAGATCTTCGCCCTGAGGCACGGCTACCGGGTGGACAGCAACCAGGTCTGGCGGTGGGATACGGGGTAGCTGGGTATACAGAGACCCCAGGGCCTGGGGGTGGGGGGGGTGCAGTATCAGGTGGGACATAGGGAAACAGCAAACAGATGTGCTGGGGCATGCAGCGGGCTGAGGGTGGGAGAGCAAGGCATTCGGGACAGCAGCAGCCAAGTCTGGGGGCTGTTGAGTGTGGATGGAGGTTGGGGACACCTAGGCCTGGACATAGTGGCCCAGGCACCAGGCACTAGACACTACATACCTGCACTTTTTCTCCACCAGGAGCTGGTGGCTCTCGGCCTCAGTAACCTCATTGGGGGCATCTTCCAGTGCTTCCCCGTGAGCTGCTCCATGTCCCGCAGTCTGGTACAGGAGAGCGCCGGGGGCAACACACAGGTGGGCTTTGGGCGTGGGTGTGCATCTGCACACGCGCGCGCGCGCGCACACACACACACACACACACACACACACACACCCCGCTTTGGCTGGGCCATCCCCCTCCGCTCCTCCCTCCACCCCTCTTTCCCCACCCCCCACAGGTGGCCGGAGCTGTCTCCTCCCTCTTCATCCTCATTATTATCGTCAAACTTGGGGAGCTCTTCAGAGACCTGCCCAAGGTGAGTGGCCACATCCACCCAGCCAGGCTTGAGGGACTTGGCCAGGCCAGAGGCTCAGGTCAGTTAGGTCCTAGGTGAGGGGCAGGAATACAAGGTCATGCATGAACTGTTTTTCAAGGTTGAGCTCTTTAGGGTGAGATTCGGAGTCAAGGGTCAGGGATTAGAACCCTTCAGAGTCAGATCCAAGTTGTTTGGCTCGGGGTGGCCATTAGCGTCATGCGGGGCGATGCCAGCATCGGCCTGGCTGCTGCCCCGGTGGTCAGGCTTGTCCGCATCTGGGCACCTCGCAGCAGCCCCTGTTGACATGCCCTCCCCTCACCCAGGCAGTCCTGGCAGCTGCCATCATCGTGAACTTGAAGGGCATGTTGAAGCAGTTCGCCGACATCCGTTCCCTCTGGAAGTCGAATCGAATGGATCTGGTGAGAGGCCTGGGAGCCCAAGGGTGGGTCTGGGGGCCCCTGTCCTGCTGCCCCCTGTCCTGCTGCTGAACCCCCACGGCCTTTCTCCTGACCTCCCGGGCTCCTGAGTTCTTAGCCTCACTCAGCCCTCCTTCCTCCCTGATGCCCCCAGGGCCCCTGCTCTGCTCCCCCGGCAGGTCAGCACTCTGGCCGGAGGGTCATTTTTCTCCCACTCCCCTAGCCACATTGCCCTTCCACTTTTAGCTCATCTGGCTGGTGACCTTTGTGGCCACCATCCTGCTGAACCTGGACATCGGCCTGGGGGTCTCAGTCGTCTTCTCCCTGCTGCTCGTGGTGGTCCGCACGCAGCTGTGAGTCTCCCGCTTTGGTGCCCCCATCCCAGCTGGTGAGGGGCTGAGGGCCACACGGGCCCCCTCCCGCTTTCCCACATCGCGGGGGTAACCCTAGGCTCCCTGGTACCCCCTCACTGCCCCCTCCTCACACGCTCTCCTTCACAGGCCCCGCTACTCTGTCTTGGGGCAGGTGCCAGACACGGACATTTACCAAGATGTGGTCGAGTACTCAGAGGTGGGTGGCGGGCGCTGGGCAGGGGGGAGGCCTGGTGGGTGGGACAGAGGCGGGACGGGCCTTTGTGGGTCCCTTCTACACCTGGCAAAGACCCTGGGGGCTGAGGGTGCTTTGGTCCTGGGAACTTCAAGGGAGGAATTTGGGTGTGGGACTCAACAGCTACGAAAGGACAGAGGAGCAGTGGGCAGAGAGGGACTGACTGAGGGGCCTGGAGAGGGGTCTATCGTGGGGCCAGCAGCCTTGGTGCAGGGGGTGCTGGCGGGGCAGGAGCCCGGGGCGCCAGGACGTAGGGGAGGCTGTTTCCTGATCCGATCAGGGGAGTTCCCACATCTCAGTGGTGCACTTACCTCCTGAAAAGCTTCATGCCTAATAGTGGGGTCCTGGAATAAAACAAGCCCGTTCCTGCTGGCGTGGAGCCTTGGAGTCTGAGTACAGTATAATCAGGCAGAGTAAGGGGAGGACAGGAGGGGAGCAGCTCAGCCGGATGGAGAGGGAGGTGGGGGGCCCATGGTGCAGACCCACGTGCCGAGCAGCGCCACACTTCCTGGGCTGTGCCACGGACGGAGTGGGAGCTGGGGAGGGTCTCTCTGTGCGCGTGCAGGAAACAGACCACAGGGTGGGGGGTGGAGGCCCATGAGGAGGCCTAATACCCTGGCCTGGGTATTGGCAGAAGGGAGGGGAGGTGGGGAGGGGAGGGTGCAGGACGCCCTGGAGGAAGCTTTGACAGGCCTGACTGAGGGCCTGGGTGGCAAGGTTGGGGGGATGAGGAGCTGGGGTGATATGGCCAAGCTTGTGGCCCAAGGTCTCGGGAGGACAGGGGCCGCAGGCTGGGCCCATGCTGGCCGGCGAGCAGAGGCTTGGTGATGGGGGGCCCTGGGCCACACAGGGGGAGGAAAGCAGGAGAACACAATACAACCAGGAGAGTGGAGGGCTCAGCCACCCCAACCTGACCCATCCCCAGGCCAGGGAGGTCCCAGGTGTGAAGGTCTTCCGCTCCTCAGCCACCATGTTCTTTGCTAATGCTGAGCTCTACAGCGATGCGCTGAAGCAGAGGGTGAGTCCGGGGGTCCCCAGGGTGAGTGTCAGAGGCTCCCTCACCTCCCCAGAGCATCCACATCCCCTTCCCTGACATTTGCCTCCAGTGTGGTGTGGACGTTGACCACCTCATCTCCCAGAAGAAGAAGCGGCTCAGGAAGCAGGAGCTAAAGCTGAAGCGACTGCAGAAGAGTCTCCAGAAACAGGCAGGGGCCCCCTCAAGCCAGGGATTCCTGCCCCCTGTCCTGCTGCTGAACCCACATGCTCTTTCTCCTGGCCTCCTGGCCTCCTGGCCTGAGTTCTTAGCCTCACTCAGCCCTCCTTCCTCCCTGATGCCCCTAGCCCCCGACCCTGCTGGGCCCCTGCTTTGCTCCCCCGGAAGGTCAGCACTCTGGGCAGAGTTTCGTTTTTCTCCCACCGCCCCCCAAGCCAGTGACAGCATGCACCACCACGGTCCTCTTCCATTTTTGGCTGCTCCTGGAGCTGGTGAAAACCCCACCACCTCCAGCCTGGCAGCCCTGGGTCCCAAGCTTTAGTTCCCGGCCTGCCTAGCTGCCCAAAGCCTGGGGGTGATACCCGACTTGCCTGGTTGGCTGTCCTATGACAGCTGGGAGAGCTCTTTCTTGTCCCCCTTCTCCCTGGCCTAGACTGCCGCCTCCGAGGTCACATCTGTTTCCATCGAAGTCAACACCAGCGTCAGAGACATGGAGAGCAACAACGTGGAGGACTCCAAGGCCAAGGTGAGGCTGGAGGTGGGAGAGGGGGCAGCCATGAGCTGCAGAGATGTGAGTGGTCCATGCATGTCCTGCAAGGAAAGCCGTGGGTTCGAGCTGGTCGTGCCAGCGGTGGGGGGTGGGGGGATGGGGGGGTGATGGATCCGATGCCCTCTGGAGAAAGGCCTAGCGATCTGCCATAGATTCTGCTGTGGCTCTCTGGCCTGCCATCCAAAGACGTTGAATTTGTAGAGTCCACAAGATTCATGGGTAGAAAGAAGGGATTGGGGGTATGGGGAAAAATATGGGATCAAAAGGGACGCCAAGCTCAACTAGAGACCCAGGCGGGGTGCCAAGCTGTCTGGTCTGTGTGTGCTCACGTGTCCCTGGGCCCCCTACCCGCCCCACCCTGGCTGGCTGAGGATGGGACGCCATCACCCAGCACCCCACCTTCTTAAGCGTCCCTGGGCCTGAGCCCAGGAGATAACAGAGCAGTACACGCACATCTGTGCGTGCTCCCTGAGTCTGGGCTTCCTCTCCTGTGCATCCCCATGTCTCTCCCGTCTTTACGTGCAAGAGGCTCCTCCATGTCCAGGTTTTCATGTGTCCCCTGCATGTCCTATATATGCGGGTATTTGCATGCATGCTCCCACATCTGACCCAGTGTGGCCCTTGCCTGTCCGTGTGTGTTCTTTGCCATCACCCCTCCCGGACACCTTTTTCCCAGCAGGCGAGCACAGGGAATGAGCTAGAGGATACAGCAGCCGGCGGTCAGGAGGATGCTAAGGCCCCAAATGGGTCCACACTGAAGGCCCTGGGCCTGCCTCAGCCACACTTCCACAGCCTTGTCCTGGACCTGGGCGCCCTCTCCTTCGTGGACACTGTGTGCATCAAGAACCTGAAGAACGTAAGGGGCTGGGGCACCCCTAAGAAGAGCCCTGGGAGAGGACAAGTCCCCCTAAGCCTCCTCACCCCATAACTAGACCCAAGAGCCCCTCTGAGCTCCCTCTCAAAACTCCCTCCCCCACAACCTGCCTGAGTCCTTCCTCGGAGCCCTTGAGCCTCCCTCTGAGCCTGGCCCCCTTTTCTGTTGCAGATTTTCCGTGACTTCCGAGAGATCGAGGTGGAGGTCTATATGGCCGCCTGCCACAGTGCGTGGGGGGGACAGCATGAGTGGTCTGGGAGGGGAGTGGGGCTCTTTCAGCCAGGGAGTCTGCCAAGCAGCACAAGGAAAAGTCTTTCTCTGGGACCGGAGGTCAGAGGTGTCTTGGGAGGCAGGGGTCAAGGGTCAGGAGTGACTGGAGGTTTTGCTGTCACCTCAGGGGGTAGAGGTCATGGGCGAAATGGGTCAGGGTGTTCTGGTGACTGAGGTTGGGGGTTGGGGTTCCTGGTGGTTCTGTGAGCCAGGGGAGACCTATTCCTTGCCCACAGCTCCTGTGGTCGCGCAGCTTGAGGCCGGGCACTTCTTCGATGCTTCGATCACTAAGCAGCATCTCTTTGCCTCTGTCCACGATGCTGTCCTCTTTGCTCTCCAACACCCGAGGTCCGACCCTGCCAGCCCTGTTTTGGTGAGCTGGCCTCTGGCTCACAGAGCTCTTTTTGTTTGTCTACTGCTTGTCCCTGTCCTGACGCCCACCTCCAGAAAGTCCACCCTTCCTGAATGCCTCTGCCCCAGCGGACCCACTGCCTTCCCTTCCCACCTTCAGCTGAAGCTGCTCCCAGGAGCAGGGGTTGCTGTCCGGGGGGAAAGGGTTGATATGTGTTTTTGGAAACTGGAGCCTCCCCTCCTCTGCCTACTCAGATGACCAAACTCTGACCATGCCGCCGCCCTGCCTGAGACTGCTCACCTCTGCAGGTTGTGACCAGGCACTTGTGAGAAACTCCCTGCCCCTGGGCTGCCTCCAGATGTCACCCAGGAGTCCCCTCCATATTCACACACACTCACACATAACTCAGGGATGGATGTCCTGGGTCTCCCAAGTTCAGTGCTATAGGCCTGGGCCTGGGATGGGACACTGGAGTCAGACCGGCCGGGTTGGGGGAAGATGCATATTTTTAGCCCCAGAAATAAAGACCTGTTTGCCTACCACCAGGCTTGCTGTGCCTTGGCGTGGGTTTGGTGGGGTGGGCAGTGATCCACAGCCCTGACTCCTGACTCTTCTTATGCCCCAAAGTGGGGGGCTGAAGTCAGAAGTTGTGGGGGAAGATTTGAGGAGGGCAGAGTCCGGTGAGTGAATAGAGAACCAGCGGGAGAGTTATGGGGCCCAGGGCCAGGGTGGGGGCACCCCAGGTTCAAGCTCCCCAGCCACTCACAACCCTCGACGCCTGTGTCTTCAGCTGGAAGACCGGGGAGTCAGACCTGCTTCTCAGGAATGGTGCCAGTGAGTGCAGCCCCTGGAGGTTAGAGAGTAAACACCTGAGCAACCAGATGGGGGAGCATGGTGTTCACAGGCGCTGCTGGTCTGTGTCGAGAAGTAAGAATGCGTAGGGTTGACTTACTTGGGAAAAAGCCTGTTCATATCATTAGGTCACTTGGGCTGTGCAGGTCACTGCCAAGAAGCATATGCTTGATTTCTACCTTAAAAGGTCAGCATCTGGGTGTGTTGCCCAGTGGGCAGCAGTAGGCCTTCCTTCAGGCCAGCTGATGCTCTGAGTGAGTGGGGGTGGGAGGCTAGAATCTTTCTGGGTCTCCTCGGCAGTACAGCGGGAATGGCAACCTTACCCACTTCGTGGGTTGCTCCGTGAGTATTAAACGAGGCAGTGCCAAGGAATGCTTATAACAATGCCGGGCTCAGGGCGCCTGGGTGGCTCAGTTGGTTAAGCGACTGCCTTCGGCTCAGGTCATGATCCTGGAGTCCCGGGATCGAGTCCCGCATCGGGCTCCCTGCTCAGCAGGGAGTCTGCTTCTCCCTCTGACCCTCCCCCCTCTCATGCTCTCTCTCTCTCTCTCATTCTTTCTCTCAAATAAATAAATAAATAAAATATTAAAAAAAACAACAACAACAAAAAACAATGCCGGGCTCCTGTTACCTGCTCAGAACACATGAGCTCTGCCATCCCCCAGGTACAGACCAGGTGCCCCCCTCTGTGCTGGGCAAGTGGACAGAGGCTGTCCTGCCCTTCAAGTCACCGAGGTGCCCCTTGTCCAGCTCAGTGTTTATCGTGTTTGGCGGCGGCATCCTGCTCTGTGTTCATGAATCATCGGCCCCACCCCTCCCCCCTCAACCACAGCCCAGGAAGTCGGGGCTTTTTAATCTACTCTGACACGCCATGTCCCTGCATCAGAAACAGTGCCTGGTGTGTGGTGTGCTTGGGAAATATTGGGTGAGTGAAGCCTATGTGCCGGAGTGGAGGCCAGACCTCAAATAAGAAATTGCAGATCATTAGAACTGCTTTGAAGAAAACAAAACGGGGTCACGCGAGAGGAGGAACTGTGTTGCCCAGCAGGGGCATGGGAGGGAAGCTAAGGGAGCAGGTCACACAAGCCGTGAGAAGCAGAGTGGAGGACTGTGTCCTGCCGTAGGAAGCAGCAATCGTGTTCGGGAACACCGGGGAGGCCTGCACGAGGCCGAAGGGAGGCCACGGCACGCAGGACCTCATGGGCCAGGGCGAGCCTTCGGGCTTCATTCAGAGCGTTCGGGGGCCCCACACTTGTGAGGGTTCACCCTGCTGTAATTTGGACTGTGGGGTAGGCTGGGTTTTGGGGACCAGCAAGCAGCTCTATGCTGGACAACAGCCTTAGGAGCTGTGAGGTGTTAGAATTTTAGGGATTGAACGTTATGGGAGGAGGAGGCGGTAGGGGGAGGGTATTCCTTCAGTCTTGGACTGGCTAGGAGATTGGCACCCAGGCCTCAAGCCTGCCATCCCCCTCGGCCCTGGGGGCTTCCCCACCCTGCTGTGTTTTCTGGCCAGGCTGTGCCTCATGAAAGGCCATGGGCCCAGCTGGAACCTGCCGCCTGCCGCCTGCCGCCTGCCGCTGGGGGAGGGCTGTTTGCCCGTTGCCAGGCGCCCGGGTTCTATCCGGGCGTTTGGTGCCACCATGCTGCTCGCACCGCCCTTCCTGCTCCTGCTGCCCCTGCTGGCCCTGCCAGCTCCCTCCCACGCCTGGTCTCGGCCCCTGTGGTACCAGGTGGGGCTGGACCTACAGCCCTGGGGCTGCCAGCCCAACAGCCTGGAAGGTTGTGGGGGCAGCCTGGGCTGTCCTGGCCCCTGGATGGGCCCGGGGATGAACCGCATCTACCCTGTAGCCGGGGTCACGATCACCACGACCATGATGCTGATGTTGGGCCGAGCGCTGCTGCAGCGGCGGCGCTCCCAGGCGTCTAAGTCTGAGGTGAGCGTAGCACTGCTCTGCCCGCCGCAGCCTCCTCCTCCGCTGCTTGCACCCTGTGTTCCTACATCTGTCCACACCCGTCAGCCCCTGACCATTGCCTGTGGCCAGTGCTCTGTCCCCATCTGTCCACCCCTTTACTATCCCTACTCCTCATCCAGCCCCCGTGGCCCCCGTGACCACCCTAGCCCACAGCAGACCCTCGGTGACCCTCCATCAGCAACCCCCTTCCTGTGCCCTTCTCCCTGGTCTCCTTGCTGCCCCTCACCACACCCCCATTCCGTCCCTCTGCTCTTACTCCTGCCTCTTGGTCCTATCCTCAGCATCCACAGGTGACCACTAACCTCCCTGGACCCTGGAAATGGCGGACCCCAGTCTCAGACCACGCCCTGCTCCTTGGTGTCCTGCACATGCTGGATTCCCTCCTGGTCCATATTGAGGGCCACCTGCAGTGTATAGCCACCCAACAGAAGACCCAAATAAAGGGGACTCCCGCCCAGAGTGGGTGACCCAATATATGCCTCTCTGCCTGGTGGCCAGTCGGAGTGGGGATGGCCTGAGACTCTGGGCCAGGCTCAGGTCTGTGTGTGTGTCTTCTCCAGGCCTGCCTGGACCCTGTGTCCTCTTTCTGCCTCTGTAGCCGGCAGACTTGAGGCCTCCATGCCCAGTGTGGGTGGGCAGATGGGACTTGCTCACACTGCTCCCTTGCCCCTACCCCTCTTCCCTGAGGTCTCACCCACAAACGTACCTGTTCCTTGGGGGCCCCAGTGTGGCGGGACAAGACTTGACCATCAGGGCAGATGTGGGTAGCCCACGGAGGTGACAATGGCTGAGTCAGTGAGGGCTCCCAGTTGGTGATGCAGGGGGTCGGGGGGGTGTGGAGGGTGAGCCCTGGCCTCCTTCATCTTTGTGGCAGCCCCAAACATGCTCTGGCATCTGAGTGGCCCCTGCCCTAAGACCTCTGGAAGCGGAGTGAGGGCTGAACTTCACCCCCTCTTCCCTTCCTTCTACTGCAGACAACCCAGGTTGAGTGAGTACTGAGGCCTATACAAGTTTAAGGTCTGTTTTAGAAAAAATATTCTATTCAAAAATAGAAACAGATGCATTCACATCAGGAAAGAAACGAGAGATTACAAATGTTAAAGAGTTGACCCTACAATGCAAAATCCAGACCAGTAATGTGCTTGTGGTGATGTCCTGACACGTTTCTGTCATGCGTGCTCTTCTGAACCCCCTGGCTTCTGACTCTGACAACCTCTATATAGGGTGACAGGTTTGTCATATGGGGGACATACTCTATACAGAAAATTGAAAAATACCTCAGTCTTCCTTCTAACATGGTTGATTGACATTTGTGTTTTAATTTTTGATAGTTTAGGAGATTCCTCTCCTAACCTGTTACTGATGATATCCCATCAACGGTCTGGATGGTTTTCCAAATTCAGAAAACTGTCAGCTTGCCTTCATATAGAAGCTGTGGAATTTGGAAGAATTTCTCAAAGATGGGCTCCTGGCTCCACAGACATTTCAAAATTTGTTTTCTTTCCGTGGCCCACAATTTTTCTAGCACTGGGCACTGTGGGGGCAGGTTCTAAATGCAATACGACCCTGTATTTCTGTCCTGACCAGGAGCTCTGACCTGGCAGGGGGTTCCTGGAGGACTCCTGTACCAGGATAGGAACAATAAGTTAACCACACACAGGAGTGGAGCAAACCACATTGGGTCCCTCTAAACCCAAACCAAGTGTGTCCCTGAGGTAGACTTGGAGCTGTGCCACCCAGGTCCCCCTGCAGGGAAGCCTGCTACTGCCAGCCACCGAGAAGGCAGCCAGCAGATGGGTCTACCTCAGCTGCAGAAGGGCCTCATCACAGCTGGTTTTTGCCCTTGGCCCAACCTTTTCCCACCCCCCCTCAGATACCGAGCTTGACTCCCTGGTAAACATCCTAACCTCACTCTTGGAGTCTGCTCTCCAGAGAACCCAACCTGGGAGAATCCCCAACCCACCTTCCTCTTGGCTGAACCCCCAAACTGTTATAACCTCTTCAATGTCCCCTATAAGAGGAGGGGTAGGGTGGAGGGGTTGACTGGGAAAGGACAGAGGTTCTAACTGAATGCAGTTAGAGTATCTTCATTTTGCGAGTGTAAAAAAAAAAAAAAAGACTTGGGGTGCCTCGGTAGCTCAGTTACATCAGTTACCTGATGCCTTCAGCTCAGGTCATGATCTCGGGGTCCTGGGATCGAGCCCCACATCGGGCTCCCTGCTCAGCAGAGGGTCTGCTTCTCCCTCACCCTTTGACCCTCCTCCGGCTTGTGCTCTCTCTGTCTTAAATAAATAAATAAAATCTTAAAAAAAAAAAAAAAAGACTTGCCCTTATGGACACATTACTGGGGGTCTTCCCAAGACCCGGAAGAGAAAGGCACTGAAGCTTAGGATTCATCAGCCTCTTGCTAGGCCCACTTCTACATTCTCCAAGGTTCAGTGAGCACCCACTGCTTGCAGGTTCCATTGCGGATACCAGGATCCATTGAGGTACAGAACAGAAAGGGCTCCCCCCTTACCCATTCACAAATGGGAGGGTGGTGGTAGTAGTGGTGGTGGTGAAACCAACTAAAAAAAAGCAATTACTCTGCAGAGGGGTGTGCTGGCCTAGTCAGAGTGGAGCAGACATGGACTGACTGTGGGCACCTGAAGAAAGAGTGAGGTGACTAGAGTAGGGGGGAGTGCTCCAGTCAGAATGACAAGCCTAGTGGAGAGG